ACGACTACTACCACTACTACTACTACAACTACTACTACTACTACTACTACTACTACTGCTACTACTACTGCTACGACGACGACGACGACGACGATAACTACGACGACAACTAGGATTACGTCCGCGACCACGACTACTACTACTCCTCCTCCTCCTCCTGCTGCTGCTGTTATTCCCCACATCACTGGGGGGTTTTTGTTTTCTTAGACGCTATCGGCTCACTCCCGCCCTCCCTCCCTCCGTCCCTCCCTCCTTCCCTCCCTCCACACACTGGTAAAGTGTTAGGTGCATTCGCGGTTAGAAATGATTTTGTGAGACGGCTGTTCCACGAACGGCTCAGCTTTCGATGACTGTACATGGAAATCGCTTCAGGCTGCGGGTCACTGATGTGAACATGTAGTCCCAAGGCTTGCAGATCTGAGGCCGTAGCGAGCTGAATGCGTGTCAAGGCTAAAAACTGGGCTTCTACCTACTTGGCACCTACCGGCCGGGCTCAAAGCAGATGCAATTTTTCTCGAAGCCACAAAGAGGGCTGCGGAGTGTAACGGCAGTGGTACTGTACAAACGTCGTGTCAGGGTAGCTTAGCTCAAGCCCTCGGGTGTTGGGTACTTAAGGAAACTACGTGTTTTCTCGCACCCCCCTCCAACCTCGAGGGCGGTGCCTCCCGCTCCGACGGGGCTACCGCTGCACCAGGCGGTGTTCGCGGCAGTGAAGGCAGACGGGGATCTGCCGAGGCCCCCGCCCATCTGCGGGCAGTTCTCGAACGCGTGCCCACATAGAAGTGCTGTCGATCCTCGTCCCTGGTCCCTATCACCGTGCCGTGTTGCCTCAGCACGTGAGGCAAAACCTTTCGGCTTGGATACTGTTCGCAGACACCGACGCGAGGCCGACGCAGTTGCGGAACAGATGGACCGTGCGGCGTGTGGGTGCGTAGTCGCGCTGAGGGACGGCCGGCAGTCGAGCGCCGTTCTGGAGTCGTCGCCTCCTTGGTCCGGGGTTTTTGGCCACAGGCTGAGGCGGCGGTGGCGCAGCCTCGGCGACTGCCCGTGTGTGAGGTTCTTGTTCGGGCTGGTGGCGGATGGCACTGGTGACTTCTCGTTTGGCTTGAGGCCCAGGCCCTTGATGATATTCTCCGCGTGTGAGAATGCTTCCTGGGAGCCTGGTCTTGGTCTTGCCAAGGACCTCGACTTCGGCTTCAAGGGGTCCCGCGGTGATCTCGCAGTGGGCACACAAGGCTCCATCTAGCAATCGACCCAGGATGGCGGCGTCGCCTGCACACCGACCATCGTCGATGTGATGCACTACCACGATGCCTGTCTTGAGGCATCGGTACACGCACAGGCCCTTGACTCCTCGGCGGAAGTCGTAGCGACCGCTCTCCTTGAGCTTGGTGCACAACACCTCTTCCAGCTCGTCTCTGTAGACGGACCCTGCTTTCCGGCATGAGCTTCGGCTGTTCCGCCAGCGGTTGTTCCTGCACCCACTCCTCGAAGATGCCTCCACTCCGGCGGTGGTCTCATGTAGACCCAGTTCCGTCTGGGCCCCTCTGTCCTTTCCGATGAGGAAGGCCGCGACGATGTCAAAGGTCCGCGTGGCACATCCCCGTTTGGAGAGCTGATCTCGAGTAAGGCGTGGGGTCGGAGCGGGAACAAAGACTCTGAGGTCCTGCTCTTGCTCGGCGGAGTAGGGTAAAGCGGCTCTTGTGAACCCCTTCCTTGACCTTGTCGACCCACTTGTAGTGGAAGGTCTGCGTCCCGCGAGGGACACTCCACTTGAGGACGGGCCAGAGCTTCCTGAGCTGAGGCTCGTGGTGCACCGAGCTCACCCGGACCCTTTCGGTCTTGACGCTTTGGCTGCTCTCTTCCGAGTTCGAGGAGCTACTTGAGCTTTCCTAGGCGGAGTCCTCGTCTTCTTGCGGGTCGTCGTTCGGCTCGGCTTCTGCCGCTGCCGGCGGTTCTGCCCGCTCGCCGAGATTTTCCATTCTGGCCGTGCTCCATGCGCTCCTGCTGTTTCTCCCACGAGCGGGTTCCCCTGGTGTTCTTCTTCTTGTAGCGGCCCTTCTTGTCGTCCCAAACGTATTCGGGAGGAGGGCTTTCCTACCAGGGTTTCCCCTTTCGCCGATAGTGGGGTACGCGCTTCTAGTCGCGCCACCCGCTACTGGAACTTGCCTCTGCTCGGTTGCGGCGGCTCCAGGCCCAACCGGGCCTGGGATGGCTGTTGTCGTGTGGGTTGTCTGCTTCTTCGGCCCACACCTGGTCCTGCCAGCCCCGATGTTGTTGGCGGTCGGCTTCTCCCACCACCCGTTCCGAGACCAGCCGCGGTCTCGATTCCAACCTTCCCCGTCGTTCGACGTGGTAGCGAAGAGGAAGGCGGTTCCACCCGCACTCGGCGGATAAAACCTAAAGAGCGCAGAGCAGGCCCAAACGGGAGTAGCTCCTGATCCCGGTCTGTAGGCCCGGGTGCCTTGTGGGTGGACTCTGCCTCTTGGGCGGGCCTCCAGCCTAGCGCTTTGGACCCGGCTTTCCTGGGCTTCGATGGCCCTCACTTGGAGGGTCGGTGCGGTTAGTAAACGATTAGACCAGTTGATCCAAATAGCTATGTATGCTAAGTCCACTTAGCAAGTGATGTAAGTGGACTTAGTAAGTCGTCCAAGTTGTATGAGTGGTGTCTTAAATAATTACATGATATGGTAAACGATTACGTTTCAATTATAAGTGAGGCTAACAGGTTGCTGTAGTTATACAAGTGTTAGTTAATTAGTTATGTTGGATATCGTTAACTGACCTAAACACTTAAAGGACTTAGGCTGTGAAGGCTTAGATGAGTTATACTAACCAGTGTAAGTAGTTAGGTGGGTTGTGATAAGTGAGTTAGGTCACTTAGCGCTAAGTCCACTTAACCCACTTAGGCAAGGCCCTGTGATGTTAAAAATGTTACAAAAAATATAGCTCATATACAGCCCAAAACAGTTCAGAATGATTTGCACCCCCCCCCTGCATATATGTAAAAAATATTTTCGGCAACATATGTAGCAGCATCCGGGTCATTTTTTAATTTTTAGGCTTCCCCCTCTATACACATATAACCATATTTCTCTAACACGGAACCACCCCCTTCCTTCGCCCGCTTCGCTGCCGGGCTGGCCTCTTCAGCTGGCATCCGAAGAGGCCGGCTCTCTCTTTCAAGGGTTTGGGGGGGTGGGTTTTTTTGCAGGGCTTCAATATAGGATTCTGCAACCATGCATATGTATCTCAAGTTTTGGTGTTTTTTTTGTTGGGTGTTCTGTTTGTGAGGGGTTTTTAAAGTGCAGGTAGGGCTTCGGAGGGATTATGTTCGAGAGCTGGCCTTGCACGTGCTAGATATACTGGTGTATTGGCTCGGTTTTTGTCCTATGTATGTATATATATGGTGTCATGTTTAGGGAAGGTTTTGGTTTGCTTTTGGTTTGCATGTTTTGTTTGCCCTGACACTTGTGCTGAGTTATTTGTTTGTTGTGTTGGGCTACCTGTTTGGCTTGGGTTGGGGAACGATGGTTCATGTCATTCTCATTTATATCGTACAGTGTGCACTACTTTGCAGGGCATGTGCTCGCGAAGTATGATCCTGCAGGGCTTTGCTCGCAGGATCTTCATAGCTAGCAAGCTTTCGTGCACACCTTCTCCGCGACAGCAAGTATGGCAGCTTTGACGCCAGAACTCCGAAGCACCGTCGCCGGCTACCTGAAGAGGGCACAGGAGGGAACACTTGTGCAGAGTGTCAACGCCCTTCACGACTTCCTTCTTGGGCAAAAGCTCGCTTGGAACTTGAAGCTCAGCCCCGAGTTGGTGGGAGTCCATCCCGAGAACCGGGATGGATTAGGCATCTCGGCCAGTCACGTCCAAGAGCTGATCACGAACATTGCGAGTATAGGTTTCAGCACCGCAGAAAGCCGTGCTGTGTGCCTGGAGGTTCCGGCAGATAGCCGGGGAGACCTGTGCCGCGAGTTCAACCGTCGGCTTTCTGCCGAAGCCAATGGAAAACTGGCACCAGTCAACCCCACGATGCTGAAATACGCTTCCATCGTGGGGAGCCATGCGAATCAGGCGGCCAGGTGCTTCGTGCACGGGGTCTGCCACGAGGACCCGAAAGTGACCATTGAGGGCAGGCTGAGCATGGAAAAGTTGGCGATGGTGGACCCGGTCTGGCATTCCAGCATCCGTGAGGGGCTCACGTGGATGGTGGTTTCCTACGAGATCGCCGAGGTGTTCCCCGAGTATGTGGCCTTGGCCCAATCCGCAGGAAATGCTGCCGGCCAGATCGCCTCCGGCGAAGGCGAGCTCCAGCTCGCCCGCAAGGTCAACCAAGCCATCGAAGGGTTTCTTACCCGCACCGGGAAAGACACGGTCTCCTATACGGATATAGCTCCGGGCATTCTGCGAAGCAAGCCTCCCTCAGGCAGTTCCCTGCCCGGCATCTTCACTTTCGTTCTCCGGTATGGTGGCGGTGCAGGCTCAGATTCCTTCCTCGCGAAGACCGAAAAACACATCCGGGCTCACGGCATTGCCTCCCGGTCCCAGGGGCCCGAGTTCTGGTCTGCCCTCAGCACAGAGATAAAAGGATCTTCCAACCAGCGGGTACTTTGGCGACACATGCTGCTGAAGCTTGCCTTTTGCGGGCCAGGGAAGATTCTCAACCTTGGGGACATTAAACGAGCCCTGGCCGGCAAGGACATCCTCCCCAAAGCGGAGCAGGCCGAGAAGCTCGCCCTTCGCATGCATCAATTGCTGCATGCCGATGCACGACTCACTGGCGAGGTCGCCGCGGCGACTTTGTCGGAAGTCGAAATGGAGATGACAGCAGTCATTTTCCAGAAGAAAAAATTCACCACCAGGACATCGCCGGAGCAGGTCTGTCACGACTGCCTCACAGGATTCGGCATCGCTTCGCCCTTTGCAGCTCCCCCCACAACCACGTCAACAGCGAGCTCACCCGCCAAGGATGCTTCCCCCGGTTCGTGCATTGCCTGCATATATATAG